GTAGGCCACACCCAAGGGCACAGTAAGAGGAGGGGACACACACAAGGCACTTCCATGGAAGATTCTATCCTAAACAGGGCAAGGGGTTATATTACAAAGGAACAGGTGAGCATAGCTTCACCCACGGGGCTGTAGCAAGACACACCCATTTCTGTGACTGAGCGCCTCAGCACCTAGCTGGAGAGTGTAACTCAGTCACCTGTAAGGTTGGCCTCCCACAATCCATGGGCTAGAAGGGACATTTGGGCTCAGTCTTGACCCATGGAGTTTTAGGCTACTGTATATGTTCATATTATATGGTTTGATCTGTGTTTGATTGCCTCTAGTGGTAATCTACCTTCCTATATTCATTCACCAATATGAAAAGTGTTTTTCCAAGTAATTCTGGAAACCACTGAGCTTTTCCCAAGTAATTCTGGAAACCACTGAGCTGTATTAAATAACCTGAAGGACTCCCCAGTTTGGGTTTATGTAGTTTCAAGAACCAGAAAGCTTTAAAACAGTGGTGCTGGGGTCCCATCTTTAGGCAATCTGATTTGATAGTTCTGGGGCATCACTGGTGTGAGCAAAAGCCCCACAGGTGATTCTACACAGCTCCACACCATCTTGAGCAGGTCCCAATCCATGTATTTAAAGGAATTTTTGTATCCCATATAGAACTTCACATTTTCCCTTTTTTAAATATAAGGAAACTGAGCTAGGGGTATAACTCAAGTGGTTGTCTGGTATACATGAGGCCCTGGGTTGGATCCCTGGCACAAAGGGAGGGAAGGGAATAATTGAAGTATTATGAGCCTCATTTCCAGATGAGGAAACTCAGGCCCAGGGACATATAAAATGACTAGACCCAGTCAAACTGATGGGTATCTCCAAGGCAGGACTTGAGCCAGACCCCTCTTGAGCTTCTTGGGTTGCCTCCCATCATATCAGTGCTGCCTCCTGTTACCTGTTTCCAGATTTTACCATTCTGAACTTTAATCCCTGTGCTCTCTTCCTTGCCTCTATTCTTTTTAATATATATATATATATATTTTAGATGTTGATGGACCTCAGTTTTATTCATTTATTTATATGCAATGCTGAAAATTAAACCCAGTGCCACTAGGCAAGCGCTCTACCACCGAGCCACTAGTGCTGCTTCTGGAGAAAGAGCAAGCTGAGGAGCTCAGGACGTTGGTTCTCAGTAGTGTGCACACAGACTTGACATGAAGAACTTTTTCAAAACGTGCAGGCCTTGAGTCCTACTCCACCGACCCAGGTCAGCTGTTAGGGTGGAAGACTTCCAGGTGATTCTGACCTTGATTAGAATCACTGCCCTGGGACTGAGGGTGTAGCTCAGGGGTGGAGCATTTGCCCTGTTGCTCAAGGCCCTGGGTTCCACCACTAGCACTGCAAAAGAAAAAAAAAAATCCCTGCCCTGAAATTTCCTGTCACCGAGACTCCAGTGCCCTCTGGTGGCTCTGGGGGAGACCAACAACTGATTCTGCCTTTTGCCCAATCTCATCTTAAGTCTGGTGAAATTTAAATGTGGCCAGTGTTTCCCACTAGTCAGGGTATGCCAAAAACTTTCTTTGAGCCTAACCAGTATGTCTTCTGACAGTCCTAAACTGAATAAAAGCATTTGGTCTCTTGGAAAGTTGTAGGAAGGACTGAGGACAGGCATGGGCCCGAATGGGTTCACTCTCAGAAGGTGATACAGCAGTAACTACAACCAGAGTCTGTCTCCTGCGCTTTTCTCTTTCTGCTCTCTACACTGTCCCTTACCTTTAGACAGCAAATCCTGACTTGACCCAAATGGCATTTGAAAAGTAGATTAATGGGGCTGTATCCTGACCTTACTAGTGCTCTGAGAGAACATTGGCCTGTGAATTAAGTACCTGACAAGTTTTGGAGGCAAGGAACAAAAGAGAGACTCTGAAAACCTCGAAACAAAATGAGATATAATTTCTGATGTGGCTGATCTGGTGGATAGAGGGAAGAGAGATGTGTACATGATTCACAAAAATAAGGTGGAAAGGCTTTGGCAAGTAAGTGAGGCACCCATCATTTCTGAGGGAACTATAAGGAGAAGCGGGGACCTTTGCCCTGAAGGGAATCGGGAAGGAATTCATGACTCCAGTGAGGTGGAGCTAGGTCTAGAAATATGGCACCATGTGATTCTTTGGAAATAGGGAAGAGGAAATAGCCATTGATTAAGCAAAAGCCTGAAGATGGGAAAGCCCAAAGGCTATGAAACACAGAAAATGTTTGGGTTTGGCTAGAACATGACAAGAGTAGAAAGAATTAAAGGGAATTGGAAGCTAGAAGATGACTTAACCACTTAAGTAGAAGTGAGCATTGGGAAGGCCCTGAGTAGAGAAGCAGCATTGTATCTTGCTGTGGTGAGGGGCAAGGGTGCAACTCAGTGGTGGACCGGAACACTTGCCTGGTGTGTATATGGCCCTGGATTCCATCCTTAGAGGCCTAATAGGAAAAAGAAAGAAAGAAGACTGAAGGAGGGGCAGATGAAATCCCTAGAGCGCAGAATTTAAGAAGGCTCTCACCCCTGAGGTTGGTAAGCACATTAGACTTCTTACTGCTTCCTTCAGTCCTGCCCAAGTGCTTACTAGGCCCTCCTGTTTCTGAGGAAAATAGACTGAAGGACAATGTTATCAAGATGAGAGCTCAGAGAAAACCCTGACCAGGGTGGCAACAGCAGATAGGAGTTCTCAGATCAGATCTGACAACGCACTGAGAAAGGGTGCAGTGGGAATAGCAGAGACCTCAGGGTAAGCCAGGTTTCCGTCCTGGATAAATAGGAGCCAGAGGGGAGTTGCAAATACAGGAGAAATACAGGACTTAATGAGAGAGATGACAATAGTTGTCATTTATTGATTTTCAGAAGCTAGATACAGGATCTGTTCATTCATTTATGCACTTATTTGGTTTTTGGTTTATTTGCTTTGATTTATTTTGCTGTGCTGGGGATTGAAGCTAAGCATACATTCTACCACTGAGCCACACCCCCAGCCCCATGTAGTTGGTTTTGTTATGTTTGCAGGAATTAAACCTAGGGGTGCTTTACCACAGAGCTGCATTCTCAGCCCCTTTTTACTTTTTATTTTGAGACAGGGCTTAGGACCTCGCTAAATTGCTGAGATTGCCCTCCAACTTATGATCCTCCTGCCTCAGCCTCTTGAGTTGTTGGGATTATAGGCATGTGCCATAATGTCCAGCTTCCAGACAGTTGTGTATTGAGCACCTGCTGTGTGCCTGTGTCAGTTTAAGCGCTGAATATTTAACAGTAAACCAAACTGATTTTCAGGATTATAGGTTTGCTGGGCATGGTATCACATGCCTATAATTTCAGCAACTCACAAGGCTAAGGCAGGAGGATAGTAAATTTGAGGCTAGCTTGGGCAAGTTAGTGAGACCCTGTCTCAAAATAAAATTTAAAAATGGCTGGGAATATAGCATATTGCTTGCCTAGTATATATGAGGCCCTGGGTTCAATCCTCAGTACTAGACCCCTCCCCCTGCAAAAAAAAAAATTACAGCTTTTAGGGAGTTTATATTCTGGTTGAGGGGTGTCAAACAAATCATAGAATTATGATTAGGGTAATGTGAAATGTGTCAAGGAAGAAAAAGAAAGAGGAAAAGACTGGGACAGAATAAAGGAGGTGAGGAAGGAGCTGTGTTCTGTTGGGGAGTGGCGTTTAGGCAGAAGGGGCAGCATGTGTGGAGGCCAGGAATACTGTGGAGGGACTAAAGTCAGGTAGCAGAATCTTAGTTGGCCAGGTGGGGCAGATCATATAGGGCCTGGTAAGTGATAGAGAAAACCTGGGGTTTTACTTAATGAGGTAAGATTGGGGAGGGGAGTCAGCTCCAACTCTTCGCTGTAAGGAAGTAGGACATATGCTTCAAATTCTCATGGCCAAGAAGTGGCGGGGGGGACTCAAACCTAGTCTGACTGTAAATCTTCCTTCCTAAAAGCTTCTTCTTTTTTTTTTTTTTTTTTTTAAAGAGAGAGTGAGAGAGGAGAGAGAGAGAGAATTTTTTTAATATTTATTTTTTAGTTCTCGGCGGACACAACATCTTTGTTGGTATGTGGTGCTGAGGATCGAACCCGGGCCGCACGCATGCCAGACGGGCGCGCTACCGCTTGAGCCACATCCCCAGCCCCCTAAAAGCTTCTAAGATTGACACCTGTTAAGTGTTATACATCAACACTTAACAGGTGATAGCCCTGAAGATTGCTGCCAGGTTCTTCTTTGAGGCCCATGGTGAAGACTGCGAGAGCATGACTGACCCTCTTTGGGGACAGTTCTTGAGTCTGTGTTCAGGGAGAGGCCTGCTTCTGGAGCTGGTCTGCTGTTCACTCAGACCTTTCCCTGGTCCCACAGCCACAGCCAGTCCAGAAGTCACACGGGGGCTCAAGCTGAGTGGAGCCAATATTAGTGAGGACTGTGAGCGCGTGCTGTAGAGGCAGGAGCTGTCCTTCCAAAGCAGACTCCTTTCCTGTGTCGGGTGGGGTGGAGGGGGATGAGAGTATCTAATGGGGCCATTGTCTGAATCGTCTTTGTCCTTATTGCCCTCTGCCTTTCAGATTCTGAAAGTCAAGAAGAAGTTATACAGAACATTGCCCGGCATCTTGCCCAAGTCAGGGATGAAATGGACCGTAGCATCCAGTCAGAACTGGTGAATGAACTGGTGGCACATTTTATGAATGCTGGACTGTCAGAGGAAGTAAGTGAGGGAATACACTATTGCTACTTCTGAGTAAGATGGGCTTTTATAAGTGTCACTGGAGCCACGGCCTGTTCTGTCTCTCATCAGAAGACCAGTGTCCCCTGAGATAGCTCCATGACGGTCTATCTGGAGCTTTGACAAGAGAATTGGGAATGAAGTTAGAGCATGATTGTCTTTCAGGAGAATTTAGTGGAGATTTAGAAAACCTGAACCTTTATAAGTGAGAGGGATAGAAGACTCAAGAAAGATGAACAAAGTATATCTTTTTTTTTTTTTTTTTTTTTTTTTTTTGTGGTGCTGGGGATAAAACCCAGGGCCTTGTTCATGAGAGACAAGCACTCTACCAATAGACCTATATCCCCAGCCCCAGCAAAATATATCTGACTCTTCCCAAAATAACTTTTTTTTTTTTTCTCTGTTTTGGAGAGTAAAGATGCCAACACAGGATTTTCAGTTACTTTCCCAGGTATAACAAAAACAGTGATAGTTTAGCCTTCTCCTCTTCCCAACTTCATGGCTATGTTTAGTTACACAGATATTGCTGCTCACATAGACCTATGGGGCATCCAAAGATTGGTGCAGGTCACACCCTAAAGCCTTCAAATAAATACTTGTAGCTGTAGGAGGTGAGAGGAGAGAAAGTTTAATTCTTTTGACTTCTACCAACTGAGAAGGCTGATAACCTCACTACCTTATTGGGCGCCCCCTTCCATGACAGCTGGTCTTCAGTCTGGCATTCTCTCCCCATCTGCTGTTCTCCAGCAGCTGTCAAAGAATACAGAAGCATCTGGCTATGCACTGCCTTGGGACACCTCCCACAAGGGTAATTGTGCATGTAAGTCATTGAGCCTAAGGTCTCTCAAGTCCAGTGGTCTAGTATTTGCCTCTCACCTTTGGTGAGAATGTTCTGCGTGTCCCTTAAGCTAGGATGCACAGTAGTAAGATGGGCCTAAGTTGCTGGAGATAGTTATCAGTCTTTTGAGGTTATGAAAGGGAATGGCTTCAGCTCCTTGTGTTCCATTAAATAACATACAGTGTTCAGTAAATGTGTATTCGGTTAATGAGCATTCCCTGCAGGAAGTAGTCTCCTGTTCCCTTTGCATTGCCTCAAAACTAAATTGTCTATCCCTCTCTCTGTCCTGTAGCCTTAGCTATTCCATCAGTACTTCCTTCTGAGATGCCCCTTTGTACTTACCACCAGGGACTGTAAGAAGAAAGACTATTAGTAAACTGTCTTTATCTCTGCATAGGACAGAAGCAACTGCCTGGACGCCACCCTGAAAGCAGCAATGCAGACTTACCCTAAACATGGAGAACGAGAAGACCATGCTGATTATGACCATGCTATTGGCCAAAAAGGTGGCCAATCATACACCATCCTTACTCCATGATGTGTTTCGTGCAACAGTCAACTTTATTAACCAGAACCTATTTGTCTACGTGCGGGACTTAGTCAGAAATGTAAGAATCACTGATGCCAGCTCCTTTCCATTTCCTGGAGTCCCCTGGTCTCTGCCTGCTGCCCATACCTTTTTCCTCAAAGAACCCTAGAACCCAGCAGAGCCCTCTGCTATGGGGCCTCTCTCAGCCCTCCTCACTCTGATCTCCCCGATGATGAAAGCACAAGGAAAGCAGTGACAAGACATGTTGCTGTCGGGAGGGACTATGATTCTCTCACACCATGGAGAGAATCATTGCAGCATGGTGGGCATGAAAGAAAGTGGCCAGAGGGGACCTAGGCTGAGCTTCCTCAGTCTGCCCTCTGCTTCACCTTGTCACAAACATAAGTACAGATTCTCAGAATACATGCGTACAGAGGAGAATGGGGAGAGAAACCAAAAGGAAGAGTCAAAAAGGGTCGGGGGGCAGAGATGATGTGCATTTTCCTGTACACAGAGAGCATACCTGTCACATAACCCAGACATTAAAAGTCAGTCTTCATGACACTGCCTAAGAAGGGTAAGCAAGACATCCTTGAAGACTGATGCTTCAGTTTCATAAACCCCAGTGGAAGATAGGTGGATGTATCTTATTTCAAATTTTAAAACATCAGTGTCTGAAGTTTTTCAACCTGTCAGAGCATTATTCAGGCTTACTTTTTAAATAAAATAGCATCTAACCCTGTGAATAGTTATTGATAGGCCTTAAATGCCTCTGCTGCATGCTATGGTCTTCAGTTATAAAGGAATCTACAAAATAGGGGGTCAAATATGCTGAACTCTTGAAAAGAAAGAAGCCAGAGAAAGTCTCTGAACAGGACTCCCTCCAACCAACAACCATTTTGAGGAATAAGAGGCAAAATGTCAACATTTGTACTGATGGGTACCAAATAGATACAGCTTAAAGGGAACAGTGATCCCTCTGACCTCCTAACATGTCTTAACTGAAGGGATTATGGAGAGGCTTGAATTTACCTCTGAGCCTTTGGAAAGCCTGTGGTTTTGTACTTGCCCTTGTGTAACAGAAGGGAGGGTGCAGGGATGTAGGATTAACAGGATCTGGAGGCACTGTACCCCAGCTTCCCTCCTGTTAAGACACTAGTAAATGTCTTAAGTACTAAATCCTGGTTGTGAATTAAACTGGCTATTCTGACTGGTATTCTTTTCTTGCTTAGGAGATGGACTGAATAGATGACTGCAGAAGCACAACAGGCTAAATTTGACGTTGTGACAGCAGTGTAGCTGCCTCCAGAGAGGAGCCATGRCCACGTAAATAGACATCTTAGAAAAGAGAGGCCCGGAGAAGAGCTCTTTCTCCCTGATTTCAGGATATTTTCAGCTGGTGACCCATTTAGAAATTTCTACATTGATGTATTTTGGACGAAAAAGTCAACTTGCCCACCTTTGAGTGGGTCTCATCTGCCATCTCCTACATGTGTACCTTGTGCCTTTATCTCAACAGCTTACAGGTTCCCATTTGAAAATTACATTGAAAAATAAGTTGTAAGGCAGAAGGGAAAACATACTTAGTGATTTTTGATTTTTTTT